GCGTATAATTTTTATACATTATACCTAGGTATGATCATAAAAATTAAATTAATATCATTCAAATTAATTACAACAATTTTTCAAACGCTTTTTGTAACCATATTATAATTTCTCTATTCCGTTGTAAATAAAAAAGTAATCAGGTTCTAAGTTAAGATCTTGAACATTTTTTTTTTGATAATTTAGCAAGTCTATTGGGTAGAACTAATTTTATTTTATTATCTAAAATAACAGTCAATTTTTCACCATATTTAGTTTTGATAAATTTAAAAAAAGATGCTTGGTTTTTTTTTCAAATTTCCAAATCACAAAACTTAACAAATTTTAAATTCCTGCCGTTTTTATTTAAAAGTGTTTTAAGAATTTCCATTTTAATTGTTTATTTATTTAATTACATTAAACAAGTTTTCTTTATGTAATATTATTGAGCAGTTCGCGGAGGGGAATATTCGTCTGAGAATTTTTAAATCTTTTAAATATTATAATACCTTCTTTTTATTTTACTTATTATATACTAAGTTTTATTTTTCATTTAAAAATAACAGAAACAGAGTTCACCAACCAATGAACAGGTCAGATTTTAATAATGTAACGTTATTAGAACTATCATATCATTATAATATCATTATATTTATATATATATATATACTCAAGACTAGCTGAACCCATGTACTTCGTAACCCGTTAAAATTCCTACCTCTTTTATTACTCAAACTATATCTATAAAAATGGATGTATGGGTTTATCCTTTACGCATTCAAATTCCAATCGGYGGACCGATTGCGACGAAATTTGGTATAATTATAATTACAATATTCATCCAAGCGAGGTTATTGGAAAAATTGATAAAAAATGCATAATATATTGTAGAGCATTCAAAATYAAGAATGAGACACCAGGTACGTGCTGTGCTGGTGGAAAAGTAAAATCGCCAGAATTACATAAATTCCTAAACGGCTGGACCGATTGCAACACAATTTGGTAAAAATATGTATTAAATCTACTGGTGGAAGATAGGCTAAGTTAAAAAGTTATACGTCTAAATATCATTCAATTGAATTTTTAAATTGTCAAACTTTTCACGATAAAACGAATGAAATTACATAATGATAAACTAAATTGAATATCGTCGTGGTAAGATTATTGCTTAGTATATTTTAATCGTTATCGATCTATTTGTATAAAAATATATTKCTAGCATAATCACAGGTAACGAATTTAACATACAGTTTGAGACATATACGAGGTAGGATTTTTAACGAGATACGAAGTGCGCGGGTTCAGCTGGTATAATAATAATAATAATAATAATAATAATAATAATAATAATAATAATAATAATAATATATTATTAAAACAAACTCAATTTTTGTTTTTATTTTTATTATATAAAATATTTATATCGTTGTATAAATAATTTATAATTTTTTTCAGAAATAAACTAATAAATAAATTAATGTTATAATCTCTCGTCTATTCTTATAAGCTTACTATACTATAACTTTCAAGTTTTCCAGCAATCTTAAGTTAGGAGATGTTAAATTCAACTGCAAAATCTATGACATATATTTTACAGCTCAAACACTTTTAAACAGCTCAACACAAAATCTATGGCATTAGTTCAACAGCTTAACATTTTTCGACAACTCAATAGTAATAGAATCTCTATTTTGTATTTTAAAAATTGTATAACTTTTAAAAACCTATAGCAAAATTGTTATAAAAAATATTTTTTAGATTAGTTGAGAGTATGGCTCGAATTTTTTCTTGATTATCTAGATAGAAAGTTCATTTTAGCACTAAACATTTATAATTTTTATTCTTTTTAAGTCCCCCCCTCCTAACTTCATAATGTAAACTCAATTTCAAATATTTTTAGAGTATTATAGAAATGATTATTTTTTGAAATATTTTGAAATTATTAATAACAATTTAGTTTGTAATCTTTTTGTACATTGTTTCCTTTTAGGATCTTTTCTGATGTTAATTTAATTTGTGATCCTTTTGTACATTGTATTTTTTTTAATGTTTTTCTRATGTGGAGGAGAGTGTGCTAGGAATGGTATATTTATACTATTTATAATAATTAACTAAATCGATTATAGATAATATTATGTGGTACCTATGCACATTCGATGACATAAAAAAAAATGGGTAAGTTGGAAACAACTCTGCAGTATAGTAGTATAATTCGTTATTGACGTCACTGCAGTGAATGTGTTAAATTTAATTTCAGTTAAAAGTCATTGCTTACGAAAAATGATTCTTAGCAGAGACGATCTATCAGATTATTGACTATTATCAAATAAATCATAAATATTTATGCGTATATTGTTATTAACTACTGTGATAATATATCTTATTTTTAGTAATATGGCATGATCTATAAACAGACAATAGCATAAAATATAATTTAATTGTTAATGGACATGGTAGTTGCAAATCCCTAGACAAAAATTATCTTGAATACAAAAAAACTATTATATTATTCTTGGTTTAAAAGTTATCAAATTTCGTCTAAAATTTAAAAATATTCTTAAAAAAAAAAATCAAGTTTATATATTAGTTTATTTATTTTTTAGATTATTTGATTTCAGTATATACATAAGAAATCTTATAAAACATTTTTCATAGCTATATACAAATTTAACAATGTATGTATTTTGAACATTTTTCGTAATTTTGGCTTTTTTTTTTTAAATGTTAACTTGAAATAATTAAGGTCTTAGTTATGTAGGTACCTTTAATACTTTTAATTGGCAATAATAAAAACCTACAAGAAATTTTCAAACTTTTTGACTGAAGAATATTGTTAATATGCATTTATAGAAGATACATTTAAAAATAAAAAATGTCAAATATAAATAGTTCAAAAAAAAAAATTGTATGTACAAGTTTCTTGAAAAATTCAAGTATCTTGAATTGTTCGTTTTCATATAAAAAAAACTTAAAACTTGGTTGAAATCTGATTTTACATAAAAACCTTCGTTATCCTTAATTTTTTTTCTAGATTATTTTGAAGGTTTTTGGAATTTTCAATTTTTATCTTTTAAAATTTCTAAATAGATCCAAATTCAAAGTTTAGTTCAACCTATCATAGACATACCATAGTAGTACCTTTTAATAATAGAAAATAAATTACCAGTACCAATGAAATGAGCCATCTACCAACTTAAACCCCTGTTTCATATAAAATTATAAAATGCAATAATTTATCATCAAAATATAATTATAATGAAATTTTTCACATCCATAACAGTAAACTACTGAATGAAGACGTAGGTGCTTACACTCAATATCTACTATGTAGCAGATTAACTGTCCCGGTTTTTTTTTTTTTATGTTATCGTTCATTAATTAAATACTGACATAAACTTATGAATTATATTTACCTTATTAATGTGTTTTGTCGTTTGATATTAATTATAATAAATGATTCTTAATTATATTATTTTACGATTTTACGATTTTACGATTTCACATTTTTATTTTATTATCTTGTCCCATGAGGGGAGAAATGATATTATTATAAATTCATTGCTTCACAACAATACGAGTGGTTTGTGATATATAATGCATAACAATTTTGGGTAAAAAATGACATGAAACAATATAAATTATTTTATATTTTAATTTATAAAGGTCTGTACGCGTATTACCAATCTAAGTAATATGAATATCTGCAGGTAGTTAATTTAATAATTTTTTTATCTCCTTTTTTGATTTATTGAATATTTATACATTTGAATTCAACAATTGAAGTATTTTAAATTTTGTTTACAAAATATTTATCAACTATATATACATTTATTATAATTAAACGTTAAACATATTTAAAACTTGAATAATTTAACAGTTTTAATAACTGGTTGGTACAAAGMAAATTTTTTTTAAATGTAGGTACCTATTTAATATTTTATATTATGGTCATATAATACGAAATATATTTAAGGAACTGCGGCTTTATGTACTCACATAATATATTTTAACACATTAGAAAGATATTTAGTGAACTCATAGAGTAAATCATGCATATCACTGCAACGTATACGAACAAAAGGCGTAAAACATTAATTACATTTCGACTTTGCATATTAATACATATTATGACCATTGTCGTAATTGGGTACGATGAGAAAACGTAGAAAATAATACGATTATCCACTGAAATTCGGGATGTGTTGTCTCAAAAAGACAATTATCCTTTCAACGCGGACTTTGCATATTATCGTCATAGGATGATTAAACATAACATGATATTTTATTACTTATTATTATAATTTTTAATTTTTAAATAGATTATATTAACGTTTGAAAGTATACAATATRATATAATATAACATTTTACATATAGAAGAAACTTAGTTTTCATGTGTTACCATGGCTTTTATTTAAGCATAAGCCAGAAAGCTAACTTATATATTACGATTTCTAATTCAATTTAAATATTTGAACCATTGTTAATAATCAATAAATAATTACTATTTATAATCATGGCTTATTACGAATACTTATAAATTACATTTAATAATAATATAAAGTTTCTACCAAAGTAAAAATTAAAAATTTTTATTGAAAACCTTTGAAGGCTTTAACGGAATAAAATGTTTTTGTTTCCGAGATGAAACGAGTCGAAACATATCCTAAAAATATTTTTATAAAAATTTAATTTAAAATAGATGAAAACTATTGGTTCTGAAAAAATTTAAATATACCTAAAATAATAATACTCGTTAAAAGTGACAACATTTCGGAGAACAATTATTACAATATTGTTGAAAGCATCTCTCCCACCCAACCTCGACCAACGAAACGCCCCAACCACTKTCATAGAAAATACAGCTATGGCATGAATTTACTGTCATCAATATCCATATGATATACGGGTTTTCATGCATAACCTAACCTACTTATGATCGCCTCGCTTTGTACCAAATTGAACAACATACGGCGTGCATAATAATATAATATTATGCGGCGTGTATAAAAAAACGACTTACTCTTGATGATATCTGGCCTGTTGGGTTTGCTGTACGTCTGCCCGGACCGAGTGATTTCGTTCAAAATGGAATTATCGTCTGCCGAAAACAAATAAAACACATTATCGGGACGTTTAGATGATTCATGTTTGTATATTTTATATATTATAAGTATATAGGTACATAAATGTKATATGTTACGCGAAAACTATGTCATTTCGTTAACGTCACGACGGCTCCAGTGTGACTGAATATAATATATAATATAATAATAATATATTATATACCTTCCACCGCCATTTTATGATAAAGTAAATATTTATTATGTGGTGTTCAAATTCTTCGCATYAGTCGAGTTTCACGACCGATTTAAAAAGAGCGATTTCATATAATATTATTATTATTATTATATTACCGCGGTCAATAAAAGCAAAACGTTTAAACGCACGTGGTTCGGTGGGCCCGCGATGTAGTCGAACCAGAGCTGCCGTCGCCGCAGCCGCTTACAGAGACGCGGCTGAAAACTCCACGATCGGTCGCTCGAGGGTGAGGGCAAGACGCAACGGCCAAGGACACCAGCGGGCAGCGGGCAGCGGTGGCGGCGTCGGCGTCGGTGCTGAGAGGGAAGAAGGTATATATGTGTATACACACGTATATTTAGGGGAGGTTTGTTGGAGGGGTTGTGTTTCCATAATCGAATGTCGAAGGTTTACCCGAAGGGTTGTTCTTCTTCTCTCCCACCGCTATTATAATGAACGCAACATCTGTTGGCGTACGTCCCTTAACACACACACGCATATATACATATATTGCTCGTATATATTTTAATAATATAATATCGCCGTATGTATATATAATATAATATATATATATATACGTAAGCATGAAAGTGTGTACCGCGAGCGAACCGTCGCCGAGCCGATATATAACTGTGCGACCACCACCGCGGCCGATAGAATATGGGAGCTATACATCGCGAGCGTCGTCCCACGTATATAATATAAATAGTATGTTCTATTCAAATATTACATATATTATAATAAATGTGTATGTGTGTGTATGTATATTTTCACACACACACCTCAGAGTCATTTCATTTATTATTACCTTTTTTCCCTCCTTTTCCGTTCGTGTTGTTCGACGTACCGTTTTCTAAATCGTTACTCCCATCGGTCGTCCATTGTGGACCTGAAACATTCAAAAACACACAACCAACATTGATATCAAAACGTTATTGAGACAAAACAGTAAAAATAAAAAGCATAAGATGAAAAAAAAAAATAAGACTAAGACATCGAAAACTACTATCATATGATTTGATAGACGAGGGGTGTAGTGTATTATAGTTTTATCTAACCCTCTTTCTTATTTTTTTTTCTTTTACCTCGATTGAAACCTGTTGAACAACAGAATACATTTTGTTTTGTTTTTAATTTTGTTCCGTATAATTTTCATAATATTATACAGTATATTTAAATTATTGGAAAAATTATTTTTATTATAAATCAAATCAATACCTGCATATTATATTATTATCACTGATGATTATTAATTTATGAGTAACCTAAGTGGTACCCTAAATTTTCGTATAAAACGATTTTCAGTAAAAATATATGAAAATAAAATTTTAAACTAATTCGTAAGCTTTCGTCTTTATTATTAATAAATTCACAGAACATTTTTAAAGATATGACTTTAGATGACTAAATTTTATCCAATCTTTTTTTTGTTTTATTGTAAGCAACACATAAATATAACTTTGAACAGGTATTCATTAAAGATAAAAATRTTAGTAATAATTTCCAACTTGATAAAATTCCTAATTTTCACTTTAATTAAGGGCATATTTAACAATGTTTAATWAACTTAATTATTATACCCCATACTTTTGCAAACAAAAGATGTAATTTTATTTTTAAACTTTAAATTATTATTGTGTTATGTCTAATTTGAAATCAAACATTGATTTTTTATTTAAAGGTATTCATCAGTTGGAATGAAAAATAAACGACGATATCAGTAAAATACAGAGGGTTGGCATATAAAATGTCTCAATGATTTAATTTAAATTTTTTAAATTGTTTAGAATAAAATATGCAGCTTCTATACTAATAATAATAATTTTCTCATATTGAAAAATGAAGACATTTTTTAACCAAATCACTACAGTGCTGGAATTTAATTATTTAATAGTAAAAACAATAATTATGAGTTTGTCGTATTAGGATATAGTATAGGTATTATAAAGTTATTTTTTTTTTACTTTAATTAAATTATATTTTATCTAGAATATAAACTTTTTTAATAGAATAAAATATTAAAACATTTCATGGATTTGTTGATTAACTTGTTTTTTTTTATTTGTATTTTTTTTTACTTTCCTTCCTCTATTACGCAAACAATGCGATTTGATCGCGATTAGCTATAACGTTTACATGCCTGATTAATTCTTTAGTAAATATTTGGCGCTTTAAATAATATTTTACAGATGCATATATGTGTGTTTTATATTTTATAGTTACTATTATATAGTTTATATTAGAACAAAATACACATAATGATAAATTAATGTTATTTTATTATGTTATCTAATATCATAATATATATTATTATAATGAAAGCGGGTAAAACGATATTATCCGTCTTACCTAAAGCTGGGATGCCAGAAGGGGAGGGGTTCTCCGTGCTCTGAAGTTCTGGTGCCAGAGTGGGTGGGTGTGAAGCTTTGCAACAGATAGACAAGAATATATAGTGTTAGACAAGAGTAACAGTGCTAGAAACGTTTAATGTTTGTTTTATTATTATTTCCATGCACATTTTATAATGTAATAATAATTATTATACAAGATATGTTACGATAATAATTTCTAAATGAAACATGCATCGGCCTGTGTGATAGTTTACGTGCGTAAAAGATGACGCGCAGTCACAGCAGTAAATCCCAACAATTTTTTGGATGACAGTATTTTTTTTTTCACAATAATTTTTTAATGGAATTTACAATGAAAAAGCTGRTTGCACATACTTGCGCATCATCATTACGATTTACATTACCTTGCGGTGAGCAAAACCAAATCTTCATTTCGAAGTTACAAAATAATAATATAATATCTTATATTTTTATTCATAATACACTATAATAGAATTGAGGAAAATTCGGTTGACAAAAAATACAATTCATACAGTAATAATATTTCATGCAAAATATTGAAATAGGCATGCAATTTATTAATTTCTCTAAATACACTGAACTAGCGTTACCAAACACATATTTGATTTTGAAAGTATATACTTGAGCTTACAAATAATTATGATTATATTCAATATAAAATATAAAATATCTAAATCRTGTTTTATTTTTTCATTCAACTGCGTTCTCCATGTACTCTTTAGTCTTTGATATTTTTTAAGCAGAAAGTTATGAAGGTTGTAATATTTCATTTATTGTACGATTGGCAAATACCGATAAAATAAAATATAATTTGGAAACATAATTTATATTAAAAATGATATCCTTATAAAATAAAATTATTTAGTTATGTTATCTTAAAACATGAGAAACTAATATCCTAAATTCTGCAGTAAATAATTTTTTTATTTTTCACGGATATTATAATGTATATTTTGCAATATATTATTTCTTGTCAATCTTGCACTCATATATTTTTATTTGCGATATATAATAATTTCTTACTTTAGAAAAATACATAATTATATTAACAAGCCACCTGTCTCGCTCCTAGGACTATATGGGATGCAAAAAAAAAAAAAMAMWAAAAATTGATTTTCAAAATGTTGCCAATAATTAYTGGTAAATATATTTTTTAATWTTATATTGACTCCATACAGGCATTAATATTTGAGACGAGTATATGTTTTTTAATTTTATATTTTTTAGCCCTTCTGTCTTATATCGAAAGCTATAATCGTGAGTTTGAGAACGACTTTCACGAAAAATCCGATCACTCATCTCTCTACCGAATCTCGATATACTTCAACAGCTGTGTACGAATCTTCTCGGCCACGTTAATAGACCAACTACAATGTATTTTCTCCGACCACCGTTATCAAAAGCTGGTAGTAAAATTATTTTCAAACGGCCGCGGTGGTCCCGCACATAACGCGGGCACACCCATTCCATCGCGCTCACCACGTCGGAAAGTTTACGGTTAAACGTGAAGGGCGGRTTCGCGGTATATATGGGACAATAATATATAGCGTTTATGGTTATCGTGCGGCGGCGTGCTCGTTTACCAGCGCAAAACGATTTCTTGTCGAAACTATTACCGGCGGGCGGCGGCTGCCTTACAACGAGACAGTGGCGGTGACCRAAGAGCCCGGAGGACTGCCGCAGTAGTCCTTTTGTGAAATTGCTCATTACTGGTGGTCGTGGAAATTAATTATTTTAACATCCGTTTTCGGATGGATATCAACCCGTGGTCAGCCGCATATACCGCGCCCGTGGGCAACATATGTTAATTACAATGCAGACCGCAGGCGCCCAGTATACCGCACACGGTTACGGTAGATGCACCTATATATAATGCAATGTAATATTATATACATATATTACACCATCGACCAGACCGGTGGTTTTAAAACACGTCAAATGTACGAAGCACACACGATGATAGCACCACGTTCGCTCTTGGTTAATATGTGCGCCGCATTTTCTCCGAAGCTAATTTAAAACCCTTTGCTTCTCCCCCCCCCCACCACCACCACTGACCCCTCCATATTGTGGGGTGCGGGTATAATAAACCGCCAGGAACACGACTGGTGCGGTTATGAGACATAAACACACACACATACATATAACACTAATATAATGAATTGTGCATATTTACACACACGCACACACGCTGCACCTTCCCTAGACTAGAGCTTTAAATAGCTGATAATGGTACCACCGCAAATTCCGATGGCCGCGGAAGACGTGTGCGTGTGTCATCGCGGTCAGCGTGCGGTCTCGGTCTGCAGCTTCGGATCGTGGYGGTTTTCGTACACGTATAACACATAATATTATTATTATTATCCTTTTAGATGGGTCTGTGAGACTGATTCGACGAGTGACAGTGAATGTTGCACGGTGTACGTCACAAATCGAAATTAATTATTAAACACGGAAAGTGTCTCCGTTACATGCAGACCGATATCCGAAGCTATACATGGAGTTATGGTCAAATAGTATTGAATAATTAATAATTAATGCCGTTCAGACTCGACTGTATAATTCAACTGAAGATTCATGTCATAGCAGATATATCATAATATATATAATATGTGTGTGTGTATGTGGAAAATACGACAATTTCATAATATATCATTTTAGGGGGGGRGAATACCTACCTACTYTGGCGGTATTTAAAACTGTCATTCAAATTCATTAAATTGTAATTTAAAATAAGTCAGTTCAAAAGTGACTTCTCGCAGAAATATATTTTAGTAAATGTTAATTATGAATTGTATTCAAACAGATTTTCAATAGAAGTTACATTTAATTGATTTTTAGTGCATACATAGAGATTAGAGATAACAGTAACAACAAGTATAGTAACACAGATATCACGTTGTTTATGTAATATGTAAAAAATAACACTCGTACAATATTCAAAATCAAAGTGAATTAAACGCAAGCAAAAATATTGAAAAAATAAATTAGTCATGCAAATTGGAATGGAATTTACGCTAGAAAAATTATACATTTTTATAAAATATTTTTCTATAATCATAAATTACGGCTCACACATTAAACAGTATTAATGGTCGGAGAGTAGTGAATTACAAACTAAAAACACTCGACGTCTATCCAAACACTCAACCCCATTCACATTAAGTATACTCGGATGTAATCCTTTACTAGCTGTAGTGTCGAAGTATTTTCATAATATAAAAATAATTATACGATGATAAAGTGTTTGGTTTAAACTATAATGAAANGGAGTTATGGTCAAATAGTATTGAATAATTAATAATTAATGCCGTTCAGACTCGACTGTATAATTCAACTGAAGATTCATGTCATAGCAGATATATCATAATATATATAATATGTGTGTGTGTATGTGGAAAATACGACAATTTCATAATATATCATTTTAGGGGGGGRGAATACCTACCTACTYTGGCGGTATTTAAAACTGTCATTCAAATTCATTAAATTGTAATTTAAAATAAGTCAGTTCAAAAGTGACTTCTCGCAGAAATATATTTTAGTAAATGTTAATTATGAATTGTATTCAAACAGATTTTCAATAGAAGTTACATTTAATTGATTTTTAGTGCATACATAGAGATTAGAGATAACAGTAACAACAAGTATAGTAACACAGATATCACGTTGTTTATGTAATATGTAAAAAATAACACTCGTACAATATTCAAAATCAAAGTGAATTAAACGCAAGCAAAAATATTGAAAAAATAAATTAGTCATGCAAATTGGAATGGAATTTACGCTAGAAAAATTATACATTTTTATAAAATATTTTTCTATAATCATAAATTACGGCTCACACATTAAACAGTATTAATGGTCGGAGAGTAGTGAATTACAAACTAAAAACACTCGACGTCTATCCAAACACTCAACCCCATTCACATTAAGTATACTCGGATGTAATCCTTTACTAGCTGTAGTGTCGAAGTATTTTCATAATATAAAAATAATTATACGATGATAAAGTGTTTGGTTTAAACTATAATGAAACATACTTAAGAGAATATTCGTAAATTGGAAAACAACTTATACTAATGTATATTATATAGGTAGTGTAAAAAGTATGGTATATGACATTTTTCTGTTTTGTAATTATCATTAAAATATTCAGTTTTCACACGTTAAAATGTGAAGAAGAWAGCATTTTTTTTTTAAATTAAAATATAATACGATAGAATAAAATATTATGTAATATGACAACAAAAACGTTAGATATTTATTGAAACATCCACTTACCATGTATACTTTAATATTATTTTCATAAGTGTATCATTTTCAGTTGTTTCAGACAAAGAAAATTAATCGGAATGATTTTGCTTTCAATCCACACAATGTAAGACGTAAATTTCTCAGAAAATAATTCAGTATTCTRTTGGTACGTTAATTACCATAAAAAATGTTTACTTTATATCTTTTAAATTACAACCGTAATTCWAACCCCTCGTGATGATCTTGGAATTTATTTWAAAAAAATAAATACAAAGGATTTAGGAGTAAAACAGATGATGGTTAATAAACCAAATACCAAAGACGAAATCCAGAGAATCCTATAGTAATTATAACTCGTATAATAATATATCATACATTGGCACGCTGAGCTCTTAAGCGAATGAAAAAAAAATAAAAATAATTTTTCAGTTTCTTTCTAAATTAGTAAATGTCATAATTATTCTAAAGATAAAAAAGCAGGAAAGTGGATATCCTTCTGCTGTACAGTAAGTTACAAGTGGGTTACTGTAATGGATGGAATTAAATTTGAATCCAATGATATTATATCATTGTATACTAAGAACGATTCTGAACGGAAACGGTTTATCTGTCTAGAATATATTATTATAGATTATTAAAAATTTTCAAATCTTAGATTTAAAAAGAAAATTTTTATGTT